AAAGAAAAACACCGATGTATTTTTGCCACTGACATCCCTAGAAATCGTACAATTGACTAGTATCTTTTTTTTCCAAGCCGCTCTAGAAGAAAAAGTCTAACTTGCACAACCTAGTCTAAAACTATCATCTAACCGTGGTGGCGCAAATTTGTCATTACAATCTACTGAGATTAAGAAATAAGAGAATGATGCTTTGTATTTTGACGTTTTGGAATGCACCCTTTCTTAAAAAAATATATAAAAATTCGAAATCTCATTTTTGGTGTAAGGCACCCTTTTCCATAATCATTATCTGGATCTTCCTCAAACAAGACCAGCTTTACTGATAAAATCCTGTCTACCACCAAAAGCTATACATAGTTGTGCCATTACATAAAGTTTGACATTATTTTGGAAATAGGTTTCGCATTAAATTCATATAGATGATGTACTTTGGACCGAATTTCTTTGGCAAAGTTCGTTTCGAAGAATAACAAATGTCACTGAAGATGTCAAAAATCTGAATCCGGTTAATCTCCAAAGAACCATAAAAATTCGTTTCAAATCACACCAGCTTGATACTTCTTAGAGACTATTTTTTGTTTTATTTTTGCTTTGCCCTGAAGTATAGGCACGGGCTGTGCGATTAATTGATTATTCAAAATTGTAATTAATCATAAAGTAAATAGCTCAATCATTCGATTAATTGGAAATTATGATTACCCAAAACTTCAGTTACTCGAGTAATCAAGATTTTTTATTAATTATTATTTTTATGAGTAAAATGAGTAAACGACATTTCAAAGTACTCTTCACTTACAAATAAAGTAGTCGCAGTTCCTTGATATTTTGAAAACAACGTTTCTGTTTTCAAAAATTTTTTAAAAAATTTTTTGTTCATATACAGGGCGTGTGTGAATCGGTGACAAAGTTCTATGGGGAAAGCTGTTGAATAATATTTTTACTATAGTGAGACAGTCTTGCTAACCTGCTGTGTGAATTGAATTATTTTTGGACAGCAGTAAATTTTTGATAACCACAGATTTATGCGGAATAAAATATTGCAAACTAAAGTGAAATTAATATTTTAAGAAAACATCTACCATCGTTGATTGCAATTCATCAATTTAAGCTTTTATTTAACGAAAAATTACACACATCAACAATCTTTGCGATTGTCAAAATTTTCTATGCATTTGTCAAAAATTTCACTAGCTTCATGAGCTACTGAAATTTTCTTCATCTCATAGTTATCAAATTCACACACGCTCACGGAATGTAAAAAGGAAATAAGCATTTTCCAAAGCAAACTCTTTTAACGAGCAAAACTAATTTTTTTTTGAGTAATCATATTTCAGGTAACTCGATTAATCATCGTTTTGAGTAATCAAAATCTTGATTACTCGAGTAATTGATTAACCGAATAACTGATTAACCAACTTGCTCGAGTAATCGAATAATCGCGCAGCGCTGATAGGCACAGATACAAATTTACACTTTAACAGGCCTATTCTGCGTTGGTAACAAAATTTTGTACTATCATCGTTCCAACTTTCTTTGAACTTCCTAAAAGTTTATAACAGTCTTACTTATTGTTAAGAAATTGTTGTAAGTATTAACTTGGAGTAAATTAGCGTCCTCAGTTATTGAAATATCGGAGTTTTCGTATATTCTAAAAATTACCGTTATACGGGAAGCCGGTGGAATTTTAGTCCGATTTAAATAATTTTCAACGAATTGCTTTTTCGTACCAAGGTTATTAAGTGCACCGAGTTTGGTAGAAATTGATAAATCGGTTACCAAGATACGCATTTGTGGCCATCAATGGGCGGCGCCATGCCCAAAATCCAAAAATGTATAATAATCTAATTTTCTGCTCAGTGGTCATGGCAATAATCAATTTTGAGTCAGTAAGCTAGTAGTTACTGATTATATGGGAGGTGGCCGTGGCTATTGCCCGATTTCAGAGATTTTCAACAGATTTCTTAGCTAGATCATAAGCAAGGCTCGTACCGAGTTTGGTAAGGATTGGTGAAGCAGCTACTAAGATACAGTATTTCATTATAAGTGGGCGGGGTTATTCCCCTTTTTCAAAAAGTTCATAATAAAATTATTTTGTACCAAAATTCCACTTCACATACTAATTTTCAACAATTTGGATTCAATATTTTTTACTGGAATATCAGTTTTTGCATTTTTCGAGAAAACACCGTTATATGAGTGGGCGTGGTTACAGTCCGATTTCGCCCATTTTCAATACGAAACCATAAATCACAGTTTAAAACTTTATACATATATGTACAATTTTAGTCTAATGAAGTGCAAGTGTTTCAAAGGGCTAAAAACTGATGTTTGAGATTTTTTTTAAGTGGCAGATTTTTCCATTTATCTAAGCATGAATTTATTTAGTCTAATGAATACATTTCTTATGAAATAAAATGCGGGAGACCGTTCGCAACAAAATTTAAAAAAATCAACGTAAGTTTTGGTGAATTACTCTTGTTATGTAAAAAACCGCAGGCAGTCTCAAAAAAAAGGCAAATATCAACACGACTTTTAAGTCGGTTGAAATTTGCACTCCATTAGGCTAAAATTGTAAATTTGTTGTATTTTCCTAAATTATGTATAAAACTTTAAAATGTGATTTATAGGGTTTTGGTTAAAGCTTGGACGGTATTTTTTATAGAAAAATAACAAAAAAAAAATTGCTCGAAAAATGTTACGAATATTAAAAAATCAAAACGTGGTCACATGAGTCACTTCTTAAAACTTTCATTCAGTAATCGTACAATAAAAATAAACTTGTAATTTTTAATTTCATTTAGGATGCAAAAAAAAATCTCAGTGTACACATAAATTGTGTAGATTTATTGCATGGCGAAATTATAAGTAATAAAATAGCTTTCTCGCTTTATTTTCTTGACTTTCGGTTATCTAATTAAAATTTTTAAAGGCAAATTTTCAAATAAGATAGTGTCAAATATTTTTTCGCGCTCTAATTACTACACTTGGTATAATGTCACAATGGATGTATTGTGATTTCACTTCAATATAAAACTTTTGAGCAGCCCCAAACCCCAAAGCATAGTGACTTGGAGCAAGGCAGAAATTAAAAATCAATTGGCTGTGATCGAAGGACTGTGACATAAAAACCCAGAACATTTTTGGTACGAATTTTGGTAGTACGAAAAAAATGTGAGCATAAATCACTTACATTTCCAAATTATACTAATAACTTGAGTATTTAATTAGCAAAATATATACTTTTTCCCTATTAGCCATTTCTTAAAAGTTTCGAAATTTTTTGGTACTTTTAGAATGGCTTTGAAAGCATTTTCTATGTAAATTTCGGTTCTATAAAATTTAACGTTTTCCTATATGGTGTCTTTCGCCCGTATGTCAGAAACATGAATGTGTAAAAATTAAAATTTTGGAAGATCAAATTTGAAAGTTTTGTTTACGAGACTCAAAATTGGTAAATTTGCACATTTATGCTTCTGTCATAAAGATGACGATATGTACACTTGTGATAAGCTAATTAAGTCAGCAACATTTTGCTCAATTTTGGCTATTTTTCTTTCGTTTATTTAATGTTTGTTATATTTTTCCATAAAAGTCTAGCTCATTATATAACAAATACCACGTAAATCCAGATTTCAAACTTTGTGCAAAAATTATGAAAAATCTGCAAAGTTTAAGCTATATTTTCAACTTTTTATTCAGATTTTTTAGAATTGTTAAATTTATTTTGTATGGAAAAAAATTTGTAATGCAGTCAGAAAAAAAAATTATTAAAAATCAACGCGATTCTTTAGCAACTTAAGACTTGCCCATTATTACCCTAGAATTTAATGTGTTATTAAACTGCGTACTCAAAAAAAATCTAAAAAATCTGAATAAAAAGCTGAAAATTTAGCTGAAACTTTGCAGATTTTTCATAATTTTTGCACACAGTTTGAAATCTGGATTTATAAATTATATTAAATAAACGAAAGCAAAATATCCAAAATTTATCAAAATGTTGCTGGCTTAATTAACTGATCACAAGTGTAGAATGTCTATGGCAGAAAGGAAGAAAGGTATACTTTAGACCAGCCGTGCGCAGCGCAGGGCACTTACCTATTGAATTCTGCCAGCGCAGGGCACTTGCTTATGGAGTTCTGCCGGCGTTGAGCATGCCTGCAAACACGCTCTGCTTGGGAAGACAGCGAAACCTTCATTCAACCGCACGACTTGTTCGTACGCACACAGGGACATCAATTGCACGCACACAACAAAAATGCTCTGCCGAAGCTGCCCACCTCTGCTTTAGACCAATACATAATTCTCTATATTACCCAAACTAACGAGAATTTTTTAATTAGGCTGCGAATGGCACACTAAACTAAAGTGAACCTTTCGACTTTATTCCTGACAAACAACAACAACAACCAAAAAGAATATATTAGCGCATTTACAAAATTTTTAATACAAATCTTATTTAGGAAAGGACGACATTTTTGGAGAAAATCCATGTAATTACTCAACAATTGGAAAATCTAACGGAAATGTTCGCGCCCTAACTTATTGTGATATTCACAAAATCCACAGGGACGATTTACTAGATATATTAGATTTGTATCCGGAGTTTTCTGAGAGCTTTGCTAATAACCTTACTTTGACGTATAACATGCGGGATGTTAGTAAACAATTACAAATATGAATATGTACATATATCTATATTAATTGCACTGTTTCCATTTAAGGATTTTCAAGCTGGAGTTGAAGTAAAGCATAGATACCTAAGAGCTAAATCTTTAGATAGAGAAAGAAGTACGAGCGATATAACATCCATAAGAATGTGAGTTTTAATGTACACATACATACATATATATGCATGATTTAATAATAAATGGTTTACTCAGAAAACAGTTTTCTCGCTCCCTCTTGACAAAATCGGCTCCCTTAGCAAGGCACTGTGTGTGGGTTCGTAAGGGAGTTAAGGGAGTATTAAAACTCTAATGTCACTAGTGAGCAAACCTTTAATTATTGAATCATGATACATATGTACATAACGTTAGTCCGTCATAATTCAAAAATAAGGAAGCTTCGTTTATCCTAAACATACAAACAATAGTTGTGTTTTTTTACAAATTATCCAGTAACTTGCCAGCAACTCTCCAGTAACTTTATTTCTAAGAATTCGCTCTCATAGAAAAAATTTGCAATAAAGTACGCGAACGCTTTTCCAGTAATAATTTGCAAGTTTCATGGACAGCTGATAAATTGGTTGTTTATTCGCAGCAAATTCCTAATAAAACAATATATTTTATATATAAATAGGTTTATTTTGTGAACTTCAACAATAAAAGCCCACAAACAGTTTCCTTATTAGTTTAAATTTCATCCAGCAACATGCGATCAGCTGTTTTTCGTCCTGGCAAATTCTTATAAGTAAAAATATATCCCGTAAAATCCAGTAAAAACTTGCAACTTCAACTGTCATTTTTCGCACTCTCAATTTCCCCTACTTGCAAGTTTTTGCGTACGAAAACGCCAAAACATGAAAATTCGTAAAAACTTTTACTGGATTTTACTGGAAATGAGGAAAAAAACGCAACTAATAAAGATTAAAATAACGAAATGTCTCAATTCGAATATTTTAATTATTTAAAAATTATTGGCATTCAGCGCATCGCTGCTAATATCACCGATGGCGGTTTGTTTCTCGTAGATTGCGGATTTGTATACCATTTTTCTACATCAGGTAATTTTCCCCAAGGTATTTTCATTTTAAGTTTGCATTGCAAATGAAAAGATATTCAAACTCTAACATGGAAAATGTTACTCATACGCCCTGGACGAATATGTACATATCGTCCCGCTTCTGCCTTAACCACGTATCTACAATTTTTGGGAAAACTAATATTACCACTTATAACAGCTGTTTAAGCGTCACATTATTTGAGAATAAAGACTTAATGAGGGTGCTCACTACTTTTAGTGGAACCAGAAATATCAAGTAGGAAATGCGTTTATTGTATCCTAGGGGAAGAAATTAAAAATTTTTTCTTACACTCTCTAAAATATCTCTATTGCAGATAATGCCCTGTATGCAGCTTTCAAGAGAACGGTCAAGAAAAAATTGCCATTATTTCGTGTGTGTGTCCAAGGAATTTTGACATTTTTGATACTTCACAGACTTTTTTGCAAACGAACAGGCTTTAATACAAAGTTTGAATTTTGAAAATGAACTGATCTGGAAAAACGGTATACAGATCCATAATATAAAGTTTTCGTGATTTTCCCTACAGTGTAATTAAATCGCAGTTGCCCCACTTAGACAAGGACCATAGTGACGCGACAAAGAGAGCGACAAGACATTTTCGGATAATAGCGAAGAAAGAGACAAGAAACGTCAAAACATAGTGAAGCAACCGTCAGCTCAGAAAGCAACGAAAACTTTTTTTTTGTCTTCTTCGCTATGCTCTTTGTCGCTTTCTTCGCTTTCGCTTCACTAAGTGCTGCCACATTGAAAAATAAAGGCTTGTTTTTGTCGCTATTATCCGAAAATGTCTGGTCACTCTCTTTGTCGCGTCACTATGTTCTTTGCCTTAGTAGGGAGCAGCATTTTGAGAGCAAAATAAGGAGTGTAAACGCGTCTCCTGGAAAATCCCGCTTTTTGTCTTATGACGGTCTTTTAGTAAATGAGCGATATGTACCGCATATGAATATGAACTTATTTTGTTCAGTTATGACGGCTTTGCATTCCATAATAAATGTATTGTATTTGGATGCTGGAATTCTTGTTTTTTTTTTAGTTTCGGTATGCATCAAAAAAATAAACCCAAAAACAATTCATGTCCTGTGAAGACCCAAAACAAAGATTCTATAAACGATGGAAGGGAACCATCAAACTATCAATTTGATATTCAAAAACGGGGTATACATTTTGACATTATATTTACTGCTTACAAGTTAGTGAATATTTATATTTTCTGCAGATGATATGGAAAACATGCAAGCATTTTATAAAAATACGAAATCCAGGCCAGCTTCACTAACTCGACACAATTTGCCCAAGAATAGCTTACAAGAAAGCAACGTCCAGGAATTAATCAACCGAAATCATAAAGTAAAATATATTAACGAAATAAACCTATCGACATTCGAGAAACAAAAACAGCGAGCTACGTGGATTCGTCAAAACAAATTAGCTAACAGTACTGCCCAAGAAAAAATATTACAAGATGCTTCTTTCTATCTTGGTCAACAAGGAAATACCAATCACCCAAGGCAAGAATTTTCATTACTTTATACGTAGTTAAAGAAAAAAAAAACATAAAACATTTTTTACAGGGAAGGCGTCAAGTGTTTTGATAAGGTAATACCTACTCCGAACGCCACGATCGCTACAACGGAATCATGGGATGATCTAGATAGTGTGTGATTGCCTTTTATTAGTTCCATATACTGTTGACGGAAGAAAATAACTTAAATAAAAATTAATTGAACACAAATTACGTGTGATATGAGATGTAGCGTTATTCTTACTCAATATCATTTCCAGAGAAAAGTTTATTGAACTAAAAATTAATACTAATTGAACATGGAATTGGTCGACCAAATAGCAAAGCAAACACACGTCTTGGTTTACTCGGCGAAAGCCGCCTACGCAAAAACAAATTCATAAAAACACTGTGGACCGCGTATACAATGTCGGACTGGCGAAGGTATTTTTTTAAGTGCGGGCGAAAGCCGCCTACATAGAAATGAGTTCTGCGCAAAACGACTGTTGTTGTTGTTGCAGGAGCAGTGCCGAACTCTCGGGGTTCGTCCACAAAACCGAGCGTGTCGATAGGCGTGGTCCATAGCGCTTCCGGTATCGAGTTTGTCGGGTTAGAGGTACATGCGAAGAGATGTTGGGTGTTGTGTGGACCCTGCCGCGGGGCCGGTGTCTGAAAGTTCTGAGTTCAGCCACCCTAAACGGAGTTGGGCAAGGGTTCATCTCGTCTTTCTCGAAAGTTCCGCTTCTTCAATGTTGATGGGCGGCGGTCGACCGACGACGCAGTTGTCGTTTCGGGTGCTAAGACTCGTCGTGACTGCATCAGTGTGGAGGTTATTGGGCGCCGCTCGGTATTTTTCTGCATCGAATAAATGGTCTATGTACTGCTCGATGTCAGATTTCCAGTGGTGCAGGTTCCGAGGCGGGTCGTTTCTGAGGTGGTTTCCACAAAACACTGCTTCAAAACATGGTGTTGTGCTGTTTCACCGCCAGTATCTGGCTTTCTTCATAGAGGTGATGCTCTGACGACATGAGATGGTAGCCTGTGGACATACGTAGAGCTGCATTCTGCCAGGTTTGTATGTTATTCCCCTGCGTATCGCTCGTACCTGCCGACAACACTGGCGCTTCGCAGTTGGCCACCGACCGGCCGATCGCTTTATATGTCATGAGCAAGGTCTCTTTGTCGGCTCCCCAGGTGATGCTGGCTAGTGACTTTGGAACTTTGTACCTGGCCCGCATTTTTTCACAGGTGACTGAGGCCTGCGCCGAGAAGGTGAAAAGACTTGCGAACGTTACTCCCAAGATTTTGGGAAGAGTGACCGTCGGTATCCTTTGCCATCGACGTAGACGTCCAGTTCCAGCCTGATCTGAGATGTTGAGGCTTCAGACAGTGAACAAGTTTGAAAGATCGGTGAAGTAGCCAGTGATTTCCCCGCAAAGACTGTCGACATTTGGTCCCATTGCCATAATCCTGCAATCATCGACATAAATGGGTGTCGAGGAGAATACTTAGACTTGGCGTTTCGGAATTCGACTGATGATTGGCATACACACAGATAGCTGGTTATCCATCAGCTTGGTCCGATATGAAAGCGACGGGTACAGAACGTCTTGGCAAAGGGAGGCATGGTTCACCGTCTCGAATGCCTTTGACTTTGATGTTCAGACCCTCACTTATCTGTGTGGTGATAGCTTTAATGCCGTGGTCGTGCNTGAGAAGGTGAAAAGACTTGCGAACGTTTCTCCCAAGATTTTGGGAAGATTGACCGTCGGTATCCTTTGCCATCGACGTAGACGTCCAGTTCCAGCCTGATCTGAGATGTTTAGGCTTCAGACAGTGAACAAGTTTGAAAGATCGGTGAAGTAGCCAGTGATTTTCCCGCAAAGACTGTCGACATTTGGTCCCATTGCCATAATCCTGCAATCATCGATATAAATGGGTGTCGAGGAGAATACTTAGACTTGGCGTTTCGGAATTCGACTGATGATTGGCATACACACAGATAGCTGGTTATCCATCGCTTGGTCCGATATGAAAGCGACGGGTACAGAACGTCTTGGCAAAGGGACGCATGGTTCACCGTCTCGAATGCCTTTGACTTTGATGATCAGACCCTCACTTATCTGTGTGGTGATAGCTTTAATGCCGTGGTCGTGCTGTGTATTTTACGGAATCCATGTTGTAATTTCAGATGCTTCGTCAGGCTGCGGAAGAGCAGTGCTTCCATTGTTTCTGCCTCTGGAGATAGAAGGGAGATGGGACGGTATGAGAGTTCTGCCGTCCGCCTTCCTCCCTAGCTTAAGAAGGGGGAAGAATGAACCTACCTATTTTCCACACCTTGGGGATTATCAGGATGGCAGTGAAATGTTGAAGGAAGCTGTGATGTACTCGACTCCCGCTGGTCCAAGGTATTTTAGCATCTACATGGAGATTCCGTCTGGGCGTAACGCCTTAGATTCTTTGGCGTTGTTGTGGTACGTCTCAAAGGACGAGTTTGTGCGCTTTACGTAAGAACACTTCGGCGTAGCTAGTATTTAAGTGATGAGGGTATTTCGGCCGAGGACCGCCTAAGCAAAAAGGAGTTCTGGACATAAACGCGTGTCCGAAATAGAACTGCCGAAAAGGTGAGATGAATCTACTGATCACACCTTTTTGATTCCACCATAGTGGTGACANGCACACTGCGGCGGCCGAGGACCGCCTACGCAAAAAGGAGTTCTGGACATAAACGCGTGTCCGAAATAGAACTGCCGAAAAGATGAGATGAATCTACTGATCACACCTTTTTGATTCCACCATAGTGGTGACAAACTTGATAATTTTTCTGGTAGTGGGTAAACTGCAATCAGCTGTTCGTTATTTACTTGGGGTTTACATGTTTAGAAAATTACTTTCAACTTACATAGACTCGCAAGTTTTTACTAATACGCTTTTACTTTTGCAAATTGTCTATTAGCTTGAAAACAATTTTTCTTTCAAGACGATAGCCAATTTTTCGTTCGGTTTCAACATCTGGTCATATTTTTGGGAAGTAAGTTTTTGATGATTTTTGATTTGAATAAATTGAAAGCGATTTTTTCAACGTGTAAATGCGGCATTATTCAATTTTATATCCGCCCGTTTTCGAAATGTATAAGAGTGCAACCCCACAAGCTTTTTAGGCGTTTAGCGCTTCTCAGACTTTCAGCTATGGCTGAAGTGTAGAGCTAAATTCCTGAAAACCGCGGAATGCCTGAAAAGCTTGTTGTGGGGTTTTCTCTAACACATGTGAGTAAGTAAAATTCACTGGTTTTCCTGTTACAATTTTCTTTATTTTATCTTTTTTTGTTTTTATTTTTGTTTTACAGTCTGTTAGACTTATATTACAAAAATGATTTAACATTCTTAGAATTAGATTTAGATTTAAAATTTAAGTATTAAATATGATATGCTCTAAGGAAATTTTTAAATAACATTATTTCTTTATCACTGCAATTATTTTACATCAATATAAGAGCATGCCATTGTCCGGAAGTTATGTAGACGGTTGGAAAGGCCGCGTTTCCAATCCGCGCTATACTTTTTGGGTAACTCCGTATCTTGATATCTCCTGTGTGGTCGAAAAGGCCGAGTTTCCGATCCGCTCAGTTGCGCTTTCGTGACGGTTGGAAAGGCCTAGTTTCCAATCCGCTCATTTATTGTTTATGATCTAAGGTTTTTAATGTACTTTAGGTAGTCGGAAAGGCCGAGTTTCCAATCCACGCTATTGTTCATACATCACTATCTAATAGGCTGCGTTCTACAATAGTCATATAGCAGCCTCTTGAAGAGAGTGATAGTATCAAAATATTTTCTAACGTCTGGTAATTCATTAAACCACTTTTTTTTATTTTTTTGTCCACTTTCGTTCTATACTTCGGGATGTATGGGTCCCATTTATATAACGGAGATTCACGCTCAACCAATTCAAGATTTCAAGCATACATTGTCGTGTGTCGTACGGTTTGTTGAGGATGAATCTCATCCCTCGGTTTTGCAGTTTTTGCAGCTTCTCTACCTGCGAGTCCCCCGCTAGGAAGAAAATCGTAGGGCAGTATATAAAGTGAGGTTCTACTATCCGGTCAGGCGATTTTGAGCTCGAAATATTTAACGTATATATACCCCCTGTCACCAGCTACCCGGCAGGATATCACCCTGAAATAGGTGCACTACTCAGAGGTGAAAACCGTATGGTAGTTGACAACTTTAACGCACACCACGCTCTTTGGCACTCAAGCCTGTCAAATGATCGTAGGGGAATACGTCTGGCTGAGCAGATAGACGATTCGACATTCTGCACAATGAACAACGACGCACCCACCTGGATTATGGGCAGCTGCTGCAGCTCGCCAGACCTAACAATTGGCAGCGCTGGTCTGATAACAGCGTAAAATGGCGAGCTATGCTGTTCCTAGCATCAGACCATCTGCCCATAGTCATCTCGATTGATAAACCTGCCGACTTTGCTTCCGCGGATCACCGGACCTATGTCAACTTTTCCAAAGCTGACTGGAAAGGCTTCGCGGATGTTACTGAGGCCGTCTTCACTGCACTTCCTATACCAACCGACGTTCATGTAGGTGAACGTAAGTTCCGCAAGGTTGTCACCGCTGCTGCAGCTCGCTTCATCCCAGCAGTATGTGGTAAGGATCCACGTCCGAACTTTCCTGCTGAAGCGGCTGTTCTAGCTGATGAGCGCGACAGCCTTCGTCAGGCCAATCCCGGAAATCCCCGTATCAGGGATCTCAATTCGGAGATTCGGCAACTTGTGAACGTACATAAGCGGAAGAAATGGGAAGAGCATCTGAGACCTGCAACTTCGCCTCTGGTGTGAGTACGCTTTGGTCAACCGTGAGGTCATTGTCCAACCCGGCGAAGCGTAACGACAGAGTTGAAACAGACTTTGGTGACCACGCTTCGTCGGCCTCGGAGCGATGCGCGACCTACATTAGCCGGCAGTTCATTCTGCATCCTCCGGTGGATAAAGCCAAACGTCGAGTGACCAGAAAGCTGCATTATTAACAAAAATGCCAAAACCCTGTGCGCCCCTTATTTTCACCAGCGGTGAGGTAAGGGTAGCCATCGGGAAGGCAAAAGCCTCCAAAGCCATTGGACCCGACGGAATATGCATGTTGATGCTAAAAAATTTGGATCCTGCTGGAGTAGCGTACCTAAAGGAGGACCTCAATTTGTCTATTGCCACTCTCGTCATTCCAGCCATCTGGAAAAT